TATGTCTTTGCATGCTGCGAACGTCTTGCAAGAGGTGGTGCTCTTCTGACGTCAAGCCTTTGGCGTAGGGCAACTTTCTAGTATCAAAGTGTATGGGTTTGTATTGACCACTAGCGGTTAAGTACGTACCACTGCGCAACTTGCTATAGAGCCCTTTTGCCGCTTCCACCCACGAAGCGGTAGGGGTTGCTTGAACGCAGTCTCTTTGGCTTGGTCTTTTTCGCCAGAGAACGCCATTGCAGACTGATTGCCATTTGAACGTCAGCCGTCGCAAACCAGGCACGAAGTCCCAGGAGTTACGAATAGAGCTCTCAACACGGCCGGCCAACAACTTTAAGTGCGCCAGAGGATGTAAGTTTGGCGCATGTACTGGGCGTCGAGGTCTGGTTTTATGGGGAAAATCTGGGCCACTGACAGGTGCTGGAAGGCTGAATGGGAATGCCCATGGTAGAAATCGTTTTGCCATTGATCCCAAAAAGTGTGCCCGGTTTCGACCGTGACTTGATCGGCAGCGTGTGCGAGTTCTTGTAACCTTTCTAGATCGGGCTCCCTCCAGTCGGAAGTTGCGTAGTCTTGGGATAGGACGTTTGGCCGATGCACTCCCGTGAAAGCTTGGCCATCCAGTGCTGCGGACGCCGCCGTTTCTGGCGTCGCATGCTTCTGCGGCGGCGCAGCTCGGCTGGTTGGCGAGTGCGTGCTTACGGACAAGGTTTTTGCAGTGCCTACCGCTGCTACGGACACGACCGGTGGGACGTATTTTTCGACGGATGTCGTCCGAGTTTGACTGTTCGTTTTCTCTGACCCCTCGACCTCGACGACGGCAATGCACGGGGTGTCGTCGGCTGCGACAACAAGCGACGCGCCCCGAGCGATGCTCTGGGCGTTGTCGGAGGCCACAACTGAGAGCTCGGTTGGTGTGGTGGAGACTGTGGTGCGTGCAAGTGCATGCTGGCTCGAACGGGGATCACGAGAAAGCTCGCTAGGCAGCAGCCGTGTACCCATGACGAGGCTATGGTCGTCGGTCGTCACGATGCTATGGTCGCCACTTGCAGTGTCTACGGCTACCTTTGACAGCTTTGCGTCGGGACGTGCCGCTGCAACGGGCTTTGATGCTTGGCCACTGTGCCACGCACTTGCTGGTGGGCTTTGCTTTGGCGCTAACGGACGCGAGCGCGAAGACTGGGTGGGTCGCGCTTTCGGACTTTCTTGGGCCGACGAGAGTGGCGCGGCCACAGGCGCGTCTTCGGGAATGGCTTCCCCGAGCGGCATTGTCTCTTCCGTGCCATATATCTCTGTGACACGTTGTTTCACTTCTTCTTTTGCTTTCTCCGGGGAGATGTGAGTGTCACACATAGGATGCTGCAAGTCGATCAAATGCTGCAACAATGCAACGACCACCCATGGTCGGATCCGTGCGCCGGCCACCCACTCTATCGCCTCATTGCGAAGCATGCCTTTCACAGTAATTTTGACTATGGCTTGCATGACTTTGGGCCCGTACGGCAACTTTGTCCACGGCACGCGAGTGTTTGCTTCTGGAGCGAACGCTGCCAAGACTTCTTCCCAAGGTAAGCTAAACGAAGAAACGTTACCTCGAACGGCAGTTCGATGCTCCGCGCGGTGGAGGGTTTCTTCCACCAGGTGCCCTCTGTCTGCTTCTACATAGTAAGTGACGACGGACGTCCACAGTGGGCTAGCGGCGGCTGCTTCTATCCACCGCACTTTGTGTTTGTATAACAACTCTGTGGGGTATCCGTACCAGTTGTCATTGGCTAGAGCTTGTGGAACTGCAAGAACACGTTTGTCGAACATCTGCACCAGGCATTGGTGACAGATAGGAAGCTCACATGTTTCGCAAAGCTGCCCATTACCTACATCACAAGCTGTGCAGCGCAAGTCTTCTGGGCAACACACAATCTTTTGGCCATTGTATAGAGAGGCAGGCAAAAGGCGTGACCACTCATGTGCGTCAAAGCGGTCACGGACGCAAGCACTGGTGGCGTACTGCTTCATATATGTATCCAAATTCCAGTTGCAGGTGAAGCTTTCTAGAGAAAGGGAGCCGAACAACTCCGCGGCGGACAAATAGGCAATGTCCCCAGCATCACCTCCGGCATGGATGCCAGCACAGCATGCGCATATCAAGGCTTCGCACGACGTCTCCTGCAATTCTTTCTGCAGTCGTCGCAGGGTTCGACGATCCACACTCCAACCGACCTGTGGCACTTGTTGATCTTCTTTCTGCAACAAGGCATTCACGTATTGGCTGGGAATTGCGAGCTCTGCCGAGCCTCCGGCTGCGCGATGCGCTGCCTCCTCGAAGACTGTGTGATGGTTTTCTTTCAGATGCGCCCACAAGCATGTAGCAGCATTGCCGCAGCAGGCTCTGGCTGAGTATGACCAAGTAGTGCCTTCTATGCACCACACCTTTTCTTTGGACCAGTGGGGATGACATGGTTGCGCATCAGAAGCCCACTGGCAGCCGTCGAATGCACAGTGCACTGCGGGATACACTAATCCAGAGTTTGAACCTACTAATAGGTCCGAAACGAGTTGTGTCCACTGTAATATAGATATAACTCATTTACGGCGCACTTATATCTTGAATTCATCTACGCTGTAACAGCGCGCAAAGTTCGTTGTAAGTTCGTTGTATCTTCGTCGCCCTTGTGAAAAACATGTTTTTTTCACCAAAGTCTGCCAGCGCAAACTCCATTTTTCCAAATTCGTGGCGCTAGTGAAGACATGATACAAAGCCATCATGGAACTTCCACCAGCTTGGTTGACAATGCGGATTTCGCACGTCTAAAGCCCAAAGTTCGAAGTCCTCCTGCACCTGCCACACGCTGCCCCATCTTTCAGCGGATGCCTTAGTGAGAGGCTTCCCCCCAACGCGAACACCACAGGCGTTGCCGCACAGGCAGCGCTCGACAATGATGCCTGTCGAAGCCCAAAGAACCACGTCGCCCACTTCGATCTTGCAATGCCAAAGAGACAGGCCACGACTTTCCTGCAGGGTCGCATCCCGCAGCTTGTGTTGCAAGTGTAGATCCGCCCCTCTGCTTGGGGGCCGCAAGCCCCACGCATTCAAGCCGTGCTTGTTCGTTTCATCAACGACGCTCAACAGCATCCTGGGTAGGAGTGAAGCCTGTAAAGCAGCAGAGTTTCCCGGTTTGCCTTTCTGCGCGTCCACTAAGCCCCCGCTCTTAGCGATGCGGTGTTTGGCTTCGTGCGTCTCACAGCTCGCCACATTCCCCAACAGCTGAGAGCACTCGTGCAAATGGAAGCGGAAATGATGTTTCGGCTTCGCGGCCGCTTCGCCATAGTAAGAATTGAATTCTCTTTGATGCTCTCTTTGCGCCGTGTTCAAGGCTGCGCAATCTTCAGCGCTGGCCGCAGTCCAGCAGTGTTGCAGCCGCCTGAGCTCTGCGCAGCAAGCTTTGAGGCGGAGAAAAGATTCGGCCGCGGCCGTCTCGAGCCCGGTCTCGAGTAGCAGACGGGCAACGTAGTATCCCAGGAGGAAGACCAGCGCGCGCGTTTGCGAGCCCGTCCCCTTAAATTGGCGCTCTTCGTACATGCGATCGTCGAACAGAGGTCTAAGCAGTGTCGCGGCGGCTCGGTGGCCCCGCCCCGGCGCCCGCCATCCTGCTGATAGACAAAGGTCCAACAGGGCAGTCAAGGCCGCCCCGGCTTCTTGCAACTTTGCCACTATGAGGCCGCACTCCACCTGTGCAATGCCCCCGCAAACATAGTAACAATGAAAAGAATCCATGCAGGCCCTAGACGGTGGCAATGCGGCGCGGGCGATAGGGTCAAAGAGCCAAGTGCCAGGAGCTCGATTGAGACTATAGACTTTCTCGTATTCCTTGGTTCGACCCCCGCCCGCAGGCAAGCTGAGCAGGAAATCTGCGGACCGAAAGATTTCTGCGTCAGTCACAGGGTGAAATCTTTCGACCTGGTGGCTAGACACGTCGACAAAGTCGCGCGCGCCCAACGCTTGCTGGCCACATTTCGATATCACACCCCCACAACGTATACACGGGCGCAAGCCAGAAGCGCCTTTGCAGGCAAAGGTAGCTCTATAGGCATCCATGTCAGAGAGGAACAGGCACCTACTCCTGAAGGACACTCCCGTGTGACCCAGTATATCCCACGGACTAGCCGCCATCAAGTGCTTGAGGACGTAGGTCATCAGCGTGGAAAGACCTCCTCGGATGCCTTGCGCGCAATCAGCCTGAATGACAAAGAGAGGTAGCCAGGCGCGCTCGCAACTGAGGTGCGGTCGCATTTCCAAGAAGGATACATAGCCTAAGGTAATTTTCTTCTTCTTGAGCGTGACGAGAACGTTTCCACAGGTGACTTCGTCGTGGTAGAGAAGCGGCGTCAACTGTCTTCCGCCAAGCTGCAGTGCATCCTGGAAGGCGCGAGCCCAGGCCGAGCTCTCTTGGCAAATGTATGTCAGCATTTCAGGAATCTTCGGAGCCAGGAGGACAGGCTCAGGATCTCCTGCAACCAAGGATGGAAGCCTCAATTCCTGGAACAGGCTGAGAGGAATGCGCGTTCTCTCTATGGCTCGGCGCTTCCCTTCTGTCGCGGACAGTGGCTTTGCTCCCGGCCGCAGCTCAGAAGCAATGTTCCACAGTCTCCGGGCTTGGTTTGCTGTCACCCCTGGGATCGCCAAGCAGCGTCGAAAGTTCTCGCCTTCATCATGGCTCATGACACGTTTGCGCGGCATGGTGGGCTTGCGGGCGCGTGCTCGTAAACTCAGATACTAGAATATCCGTGAAGCTTGAGGTGCATATATACTTTCTAATGGAAATATATACCAGAGGGACATGAACCACATATCAAACCAAATGGCTGCGGTTATACGCTCGGCGCACGAAACCCCTGCGATCCCCACGCGCATCGGCGCAAAAAATTCCTTTTCTCGTTCTGCCTTCAGTCTTTCTAAATCCCCTGACAGAAACTATATAACCCGGTGCAGTCGTTCCCGCAGCTCACGACTTGGCAGGGGCCGCAGCTCCCTTTGCCTTGGCCTTGGGCTTCCTTTCCGGTTTTCTCTTGGCCTCAGCCTTGGGTGCCTCTTTCTTGTTGTGTTTGATGTTGCCGCGGAGGTCGTTCATCAGACTTGTGGCTGCTTTTAGTGTCACCTTGACGTCTTCTTTCGAGAAGTCCAAGGATGGTAGGGACGCGGCGCCGTCCTGCGTCGCGTCCGCCAGCTGGCCCACGGTCTTGCAAGCTTTCAGCCACGGGTGCAGCTTGTCCAGCGTCAGGCGCACTTCATTCAGCAGGTCCATCTCCACTTTGGCCTTCTCCCCTTGCGCCTGCAGCTTCTCGAGGGATGCGACGCAAGTGCTCAGAGGACTCACCTGCTGGGCAGCAAACAATGCGGTCTTCTCATTCTGTTTCCGCGCAAGCTCTCTCTGGCGCTGTTCTGTCTTCAGCTTCTGTTTGTCTGCTGCCTCTGCTGCACCCTTCCGTGTCTTTGGCGCCGGTTCCTCGCGCATCGTCGCGATGTCCATGTCGGGCTGGCCGTCCTCCGGCGCGCGCTTCTTGCCTTTAGCCTCTTTGGCTTGCCGCTCCTGCTGCAGCAATTCCTCATATATCTCGCGCTCGAGGTGAGCGATGGTTGTGGTCTTCACGGGAACCTTATAGAGATCACCTTGCAAGGGACAAGTTTCGCTCCAAAACTGGCGAACCACATCTTCAGCGTATCCCCTGGCCAACCAGACGCCGAGGGGCAAGGCAGATGCGGACACCTCATTCCGCTGCTCAGATAGAGTCTGCTTCGTCCGCGTCGCCACGATGGTGCTGCGCACAGCTTGCCACGAGTAGCGGTCTCCGCCGCACTGCAAGGCCGCAGTCTTGCGAAAGAACTCCGTCCTGCTCTCGTGGTTGAACCCGGCTTTATCCAGGGTCCCCAGATGACGATGGATCATGCTCTTCATGCTCTCGCAGTGGCGGCAAGTCCAGGAGTTGACTATTTGCTTCCCCGGCGGGTCGGCCGGGAAGTCACGCCTGCACTCTTTGCAGGTCAGAGTCTGCGTCTCCTCCTGGTCCATGGCGCGCGGCGGACGGAAGAACGGCGGACGCCCGAAACTCAAAGCCGGACAAAGAGTGAGCCAAAAACGCTGCCCCAAAAACCACGGTCACCGAACGACATCCGACGACAATCCGACGACGATCCGACGATGTGATCCCCTATTGTAATTAAATAAGCGTACATATAAAAACATAAAATCCCACGTCCATGGGACGAAAGCGAGATACAGATCTTTTTCTCTATCTCTGAGGTTCCTCGGCTTTGTGCCAGAGCTGCCCCGTCCAGAGCCAGTGCCATCGTCGTGGGTCCCCCGGATCACCTCGAATCACACGAACAAAACACAAACGTTGAGTTGGAAACAGGCGTGTCCCTGGTCTCTCAACCGCGTCCCTGGTGATCCGGGAGCCCCATGCACCTGTACTATATTCGCGCCACAAGGACGCGCGCGGCCGGGCTGATGGCGGTGAAACTGCGCGCCACGAGGCCGGCAGCCGGCCTGCCCCTTCTCAGCGCGCAGCCGCCCCCAGGCGGCCACTGTGCCCAGTCCTCCGACTACAGGCGGATCAACATCACCTCCCGCGCAAATTCGGCGACGGAGCTCCTCGAACGATGGAAAGCTTCCGCCAGAGCCGCCGGGGCCATCGCCTCCGTCGTCCTCATCTTCGCGGCGCTTGACTGGCCTTGCCTCCGGCGTCGGCGAGGGCCGACGGCGCTTCTCTTTCTTCTCCCTCTTGTGGCGCTTCTCCTTCTTTTCCTTCTTGTAGTGCTTCTCTGTCTTTCTCTCCGGGGTGCGCGGTCGAGCAGCTGCGGCCGCAGCCCGGGCGCTCTTTCTCGCGCGCTTCTCCTCGGCCTCGTTGGCTGCCTCCACGGCCTCGTCCCAGGTGACGTCGTGCCCGCGCCTGTGGGCCCTGTTGTAGACCGCGGTTGCCCGACAGTGGGAAGACACACGCTGGTGCTGCTCCATGCCGGATTTCCCGCCTCCGACGTAGCGTGAGCAGATCGGGCAACGGGATGTGGTGTTGGGCGTCTGTTCTCTCTGCTTGCGCCACTGCTGCCATTCCTCCGCAGTCCATTCCTGCGCCTGTCCATGCCTCTGCTTTGGACGGCCCCGGGTCTCCTCCTCGGCGGGGGCCCTTTCTGCTTGGCGCGCACGCGCGCGGCCCCTTTCTTCTCTTCTTCTGAGCCTTCCTCGCAGTCAACTACGGGTTTGGTCTTCTTCTTCTCCGCGCCCTCGTCTCGTTCTTCTACCTCCACTTCCTCCACCTCGGAGTCCGAGTAGTAGGACGAAGGCTCTTTCTCCTCCGGCTTGGCCGGCTCTCGCACAGGGGACGGCGAGCCACCGTTCGGCATGGTCAGTCCGGGAGTTTCCGCGGCCGTGCGGCGGAAAAAAACACGCCTGAGCCAGCTCATATAGCTGCGGACAGCCCGAGGACGAGGTTGTCGAGCGGATCTCCCAGTATTATATACTCTATACAAAATTTCTAGAGAGAGAGAGAGAGAGAGAGAGAGAGAGAAAGAAACATCCATATATATATATATATTATTTCTATAGAGAGAGAGAGAGATATTGTATATATTAATATATATGTAGACAATATACGTATAAGACCCCCCCGCCAAACAACTCGGCTATTTTTCATATATATCTCTGCAGGTTCCGCGGTTCTATAGACAGCCAGATTCAGGCTGCTCCCTCTCACTACATCAGCGACAGCGTTATTCCATAGAATAACAGCCCCTCACTCCAAAATCGTGCGAGCTCACATCACACGTTGCCGTTCAAGAGACGCTCTGTGATAACAGCGCGTAGGGTGTTCAGCTCCACGCGGCTCACACCTGCTTTCACCGATTTCAGCAGGCCGTGGCAGATCTGGCGGTGATGTCGGCGGTCGCTGCTCCCGATCACCATCTTCCAACCGTCCGCAGTGCTCTGCCGGATATAGCTCTTCGCAGTGTAGTATTCCACTTTGCAGCGGCCATATACCTCAGCGTCAAAAATTTGGTTCTTGTACTGGGGTTCCGCGTCCGCCGGAACCTCCGCTTCGACCTCTCGGGTCGCGGCTTGCCTCTCTGCCGGGACGGCGCACCGGGCGTCTTCCCTCTGTCCGTCGGGCTGTCGGCGCGCAGCCGGACGCTTCATTGTTTGTGCCTTTGTCTTTGTCGTGGCTTCCCCTTTCGCTTTTGCTCCCCCCTTCGCTTTTGCCTTTGTTTTTGTTTTTGGTCTCGCAACTTCTTTAGCCTTGGCGGCCTTGGCGGCCCTGGCTGCAAGCAGACCAGCGGCACAGTCTTCGAGACTTCTCTTCGTGGGCGCACTGTCTGTGGCCGCTTCCTCGGCTGGTCTCGCTCTGTCTCCTTGGGCAAGGGCATTGCCCAAGGTACAATCTGCAGCTGGCCCGCAGACGTTCCGCCTTCTGGAATTGCGCAGCTTGACTGCTGCCCCGCAGGCAGTGTCGGAGCGTTGGCCTCCCCGGAGAGGGAGTGACCTGGCTGCCCCGCAGGTGCATGCCCCGCCCACTCACGCGGAGTGTGCGGCTCCCCATTCTGGCCCGCGGGCGCAGTCCCTGGCCACGCACACGCAGTGCGTGGCTCCCCTTCCTGCCCGGGAGGCAACGTCACCCCGCACGCGCGCGCAGCGCGTGCGTCTTGCCCCGCAGACGTCGTGTCCGGGCACGCACGCGTAGTGCGTGGCTCACAACTCTGCCCCGTATACGGCGCCATTCCTGCCCATGCACCCGTAGTGCGTGGGTCGCCAGCAGGACGCGCGCACGCAGCGCGCGTCTCTACCACAGCCGCCTGAGCCTGCGCGCCGTCATTCCCTTCCGGATCCAACATTGCACTGCGTGCGAGCCTCATGGATTGGATCAAGTTGGTCTCTCCGGAAGCACTCCTGTCCAGCAAGGCCGGTGGATTTCCCTGCGCCGCCCGGAGTGTCTGGGCGCGGCTGCGGTTCTGATCGAAGATTTGCAAGCCTGGCAACTCTGTTTGGGACTCTTGACGCTGCAACGACGCACCGACGCGCCCAGCGTAATGTAAAGCTGTGGCAAAGAACTCCCTCTGCTGCATCTCTAAGTGATAGCCTAAGTTCGTGCTCCGCAGAGGCACCCTGCACGCCATGCGTTGTACTTCTCCTCGATCAAAGGTGTCTGGCGTGCAAAGGGTCTCTGCTTGCAGGCGCTCACGCAGAGCGGGTGGGAAGTCTTCCAAGTTCGCCGGCAGCTTCGCGAGCTGTAAGTCTGTGTCCACTTGCGCTGTGGCTCGAGAGGACCAGGTTTTCCAGACGGTTCTCAGGTTCTCTAGTATGCGTCGCAACTGGAATTTGTCTTCGCCCGGCTGAATGCTTTCGCACATCCCCAACATGGCCGTCATGTTCGCCAGCGTCCGTTCCGTGGGACTGCGCAAGCCCATGCTGTGTAGGAAGCCGCAAAGCGCATCTGTCCGCCCCCTCAGGTTGTTGGCTCTGCGCATGTTCTCCCACACTGAAACAGGCAGAGTGTCTTCAAAGCCTGTGTAGTCTTGCTGCTTCCTCCGCGTGTATTGCTGGCGCTCCACTGCGTCTGACATGGCCGGCGCGGAGTCCCTGGGGTCCAGTTCCTGGTCGGCTGAACGGCGCTTGAGCCAAAAAAAACCTCAAACTCTTGGCAGTAGTGGAGGCGCGCGTTTCTCAAAAAAACAGGCTCCGCGTAACTCCGCTAACTCCGTTTTATCTTCGATGTATCTGCGTGCTACGTGTGTTCCATGTATATATAAGTGCGTCCTAAGAGCGCGATTTATGTTATAACTTTGTCTTGAATAACTATGTTATAACACAATTGAATTATGTTGAATTGTGTTAGATCACGGTTCAATACGGTTGAATTGTGATCTAACACAATTCAACACAACTCAACCGTGCTCTAACTGAATCGGACCTATTAGTAATGTTTGCAAGTCTTTGTCATTCAACACACATGGCAACAAAGGGTGCAACCGGAAGTGCGTAGCCAAGTGCTTGGCGCTGTCTATAGCGCGGTCCTCTATCGTCACCCAGCTTTTATGTGGTTCGACGACCGCTTCTAGGTCTGCGTCATTGGACCTTTCACTAGTTTCGGAGTCTCACGACAGCACGCTGTCCAAGTCCACGTCTGTGGCCGTTCCTTCGGATTCTTCCACTGCGGTGGACTGTGGCCAGACATCGTCTGCCCCCGTCTGCATGGTGGATCTTGTATCTGTGATTGGCTGTGCATCAGTGGCTGCGGCTGCTGTCGCTGGATGCGGGGCCACATTGTCTTCCTGTTCGATGGCTCTGTCACAGCACACAAACTCCTCGCGCTTGCAGGAGCTATGTTCCGCACAACTTGGCTGCAAGCGCTGCGCGATGCGCACGCCGGTCCGGCGACGTCGCGCTGGTCGGGCAGAGCCCTGGCACACGCCGTCTGTGGTAGGCTTGTCGATCTCACCGTCGAGCTCCGCCGTGCTTCCTCTGCGTGAGCGATGCTCTTGCGGCGAACTTTGCGGCGGCTCGCACGGCGGCGGCAAGGGTGGCAGAGGCGTCTCTAGAGTGTCCGCTGCCCGCTGCAAGACGGCGTCAGCTCCGGCACGTTTCCACTCCAGTGTCCAGGTGGTGTCCGGAAACGGCGGCCGCAGCGACGCAGATCTGTCCACTATGTCGTAATGGCCGGTGACGCCGATTTGGCGGTGCAGAAGTTCTAACACTTGTGGATGTTCTTGTAGTCTTGCATGGGCTTCTTGGTCACTAACAATTGCTTGGTCTCGCACCCACAGGTTGTGGTCCACGTCCTGACTCCAAATCAGGCAGTGAAAATCGAATGTTTCTGCGAGCGCCCATAGTTCGACGAAAGACCCATGGTGGATGGAGTCCAAGGCACGCGGTTTCTGTAGCACCGCAACTAGCTTGCTCAAAAGCACAATCTCTGAGTCCGTGAGCTCTGCTAAGCTCGGGTTGGATTTGTGCGCGCGCAGAAGATACTGCTTATGCAACTCGAGTTCTCGATCATCGAAGGGCACGCAGGCAAGCTGAACGTCTTCTGCCTTTGGACCATATTTCTGATTGCACAACCACTCCAACGCCTGCAGGTACAATTCTGCGGCGTGCGTTATCGACCACGTGTTCCAATTGCTGCAGCGCCGACTAACGGCATGAAAGAAGCACCATCCGTCGCCGGGCACTTTGGTGATGTCACACCCGATCCGAGCTTGTGCTAGCTGATCCAAGTCAACAACTTCTTCTGCGGACTGGTTGTGCGCCGGGCTGTATGCCGACGTCAACAAACCATACTGTGCAACATTAGCTTCAGCTGCATTTTTCTGCTTCTTCAAAGGTGTTGGGTTCGAACTCTCAGATTTCGTTGCTGGGTAAGTGCTTGAGCAAGTTGCATTATCCACACCTTTCTTTTCTGTCGTCCTCCTTTTTGCTGGGTGCATCGTATTCCCATGCAGTGCCCGCATCAATTGATTGCGGAGCTTGCGAGCGACGCACCACATGTTGTTGGCTTTAGAAGTGTCGTTGTAGCCTACGGTATGAACACAGTGTATGGTGCCGGGACTCAAAACCACCAACACCGCCAACAACACTTGCATCCTATGCAGAGGCTGTGTCTGCCGCCGCCGTGCTTTCAAGCGCGTTCTGCCTGCGACGCGGGCTTTCTTGATCCAACCCGTCGGACACCGACCTTTTGCCAGAGCTCGCAGTGCTTGGCGCGCAAAGACACAAGTGCAGAGGTGGACTACAAACACTGGGTTTATTCGATTAGTATTAGCACTTACGAACGCAGACACTAGAGCTATGCCCCAGGTGAGCATCGTGTATCGGTCTGGAATTCTGCGGGTCCAGTGCGTGTGCTTGTTATCTGCATGACTTGCTCTGCCGGATTTGGTGGGCCGGCCATGGCACCCGCCTCGGCAAAGGTTGCGTCTGCATCCTTCGACTAGACTGATCCTCCAAACTGTCGAGCAACGCATGGCAAAACTTATGTCTTGTTCACTGACGAGTTTATTTGCTACCACGCACCACTTTGTCATAGCTGCACTAACAAACGCAGGCAGGAACATCATGCTGCGGGTGAGCGCAGTGATTCTGTAGGTCGATTGTGTGTGCAGGTTGCCTGCGTGCACTGCTAGGCTGGATGTGGTGGGTCGGACATCGCAGCTTTGTCGACGACGCAGCCGTGTGGGCGAGTCGCCGAAAGCAACCGTGCAAAACATCCAGCACCACGTGGCAAAACTTGCTGCTCGTTCACGAACGAGTCGAATTGCAGCCACATACCACTTTCTCATGGTTTTCCTCTTTGGGTCCATGAGCGACAGCGACGTGAGGTTGTGACTGCTTGCGTTACTTTCTTGTTTCCCTAGCTAGTCACTCTGATAACTTTGCTGCCGCGACGTCTGGATCTCAGCAACCGTGATTGCGAGCTCGGTTACTTGTCGTGGACTTACCTTCTGTGGGATGGAAAAACCTATGCGTGTCCTCCGTGTGAATGGCTGTTGTTGTGGCCTACATATACGTTCCCGCTTCAACACCGACTTATGTTGATGTTGTTGCACCTATAGCTTCTTGGTTTGGACTGAAACAGTGCAGCGACAACGAACAACGATGCGACAGTGCACACCTGCACTTGCAGGTTCGACGGTGTTTCTGCTCACCCCTCACGTTTTGCTTCTCACCTTCGCTCCCTGTGTTTTTCTTTGGTTTACTTAACTGCCTGGTTTCAGTTTCAGTCAATTGTTCTCCTTCACTGTGTTTGTCCTATAAACATGTCGTCGCCACCTTCTCTGGAGCGGCGCTGCAAGCGTCCGGCTTCGCAGCTGCCGCTGGGCTTCGATCTTACGCTCAGGCGTATCAAGCCTCTTCCCCAACGCATCAGTCTCGACGCCGAGCGATGCTCTGCGTCGCGTCTCCAGCCAAACTCTCATACTACACTTACCACGAGCAACAAAAGCTGCTCTCTGCGGGGCGAACTCTTTCGCGGGAATTCTGGTACAGTCCAAACATGGCAGGGTTGCAGTCACAAGCCAGGCACGCCGCAAAAATGTCAGGCGTGCGGGCGACAATCATGTCAGGTGACCCGCAGACGCAATAAACTCGCCAGGCTGCCCTCCCTTCAAACATGCTCAACTCGCCGGCCTGTCCTCCATGCTGCGAAAGAGCGACGGCGTTCGTCATCCAGCACCTGGCACACGGTTGGGGTGTCGGGTACGGGGACACAGACTTTTGACACAAAACCAGCGCTGTCAGTTCTCTCCTGTCTCTCTTAAGCGAGCCATGCAGTCAGTGCAGTTCAGTCTCTCTTAAGCGAGCCACGGTGAGTCGCTCGCAGTCAGTTCTCTCCCGTCTCTAGCAGTCCGTTCTCTCCACTCCAGTCTGTACTAAGCGAGCCGGGCAAACGCAGATATTCGGTAGATTGTGGTTTCGAGTGAAACGATCCAACCCTACCTACAAACGTGCCTCTTGCTCCGGAGCATACTTGTTATGGGTGATACTTTTGAATGAGGCTGTCTTTTGACACAACTAAACCAATCTATCCTCGCAGGTGATGGTCCATAGCGACTCGTCGATGTTCGGACCGATCGAGTCGTCGTGCGGGGTCGAGAAAACTATCTAGCCATTATACGTATGTTTTACTTTTCGGTATCTAGGTTCGTGATGGCTACTACTCACTCTAGGAAGTTCTCGTTCAGAGACGGAGGGAGTAAAAGAAAGAGAACGAGAGAGAAAAACAAAACGCTCTACGGCTTCACCTTCTATGAACTCTACGGTTTTTGATTTCTCACCCTTTCCAACGACTACCGTCTACAGATGCGACCTGGTTTCGCACGCTTTTGCTTCCGGACTTTCGTAGGATGTGTCCAAGAAATGTTTTCAACCCTTTTGCTGGTGGCTCTGGTTAACGGAATCTGTTCTTTCCACTAACCTCAGTTGCAACCTTGTGTCTGCCTGTGGTTGTCTTCGACGGCTCACCCGACCTTCGGTGCACTTACTGTGCACCCGGGCGGTCAGCCCCCTTCTTGCGAAGGATGCTGCCGGGACGCCCGAAGTCCCGGCCCCCGTCGTACACGAGGGTGGGAGAGCGATGCTCCCCCACAGCCTGATAGCAGGGATAGAGGACAAATGCCGCGACGGAAACAGAGACGGCCACAGAGGCAAACAGAGAGGGGAGAGGGAGAGACAGCGAGAGACAGAAAGAAAGTGAAAGACAAGGACAAAAAAAGAGAGAGAGAGACACAGAGAGAGATACCAGGACGAAGACAGAGACAGATACAGACAAAAAGGGAAAGGGAGAGAAAGATCAAGAAGACAAAGCAAGAGCGACAGAGAAGAGAAAGTGCCGTGCCCTACACACACCCTCTGGATGCGGCTTTTTTGGATCTTAAGGTTGGGTTCTCTGTCTCTCTCTTTCTCTTTTTTTGAGCCTTGGTGGGGTTTATACTGACCAAAGTTTGGCCATCTGGTGCGCATCTTAGCACTAGGTTGGGCCAAGTTGGGCCCATGTGGTGTCTGTTGAGCACATCTTAAACCCATGTTGAAACTATGTTACACCTATGTTAGCATATGTTGGCATATGTTC